AGTAGCTCACTGGGGGTCAGAAGGAAGAGTGAAGTTAAGAAGAAACGCACATCTCCCTCTATGAAAATAGCGGATGCACTTAGCAAGATTGCTGAAACAAATATTTCTGAGGCCGAGCGTGGAAATGATGTCATTTCACGAGTAGAAGCTAGACGGTTGGAAGAAAAAGCGTGTGCTTATGAGATTTCAATTAGGGGAGTCCTGTCTCACCTGAAAATAGTTCCTGAAGTTGTCAGTGATCCTGATTTCTTCAGACGATGCACACAACTCCTTATGGAACAGCCGGAGGCACGGGAAATGTATGCAGCTCTGAAGGATCAGAAGGAATAACTTCTACCTATTTTGGAGTTTTACAATATGGATTTATGACTTGTTTATTATATTAGACAGTTCCATATATGTATCGTTTTATGTGACTAGTGGGTTGTTATATGAATCAAATAACTCTGTAACTTTTATAAATGTTTCATAATTTCTACGTAAGAATTCTAAACTTTATGTGTATATGCACAAGATAAAGAATATGGATGCTGAAATTAAATGTGTGGAAGAGCATGCTAAGGGACGAAAAAAAAGGGTTAACAAAGTTGTAGCATTGGTCGGTGCATATGCTACTTTGAACTTGTGTAAAGAGCCTTGGCATACAAGTGCTTATACAAGCTGTTTATGGGTAAGGGATGTTTTAGATGGCAACTCCAGTCGTTGTTATAACATGTTTAGGATGGAACGGGACGTGTTCTTAAGTCTGGTGGAACAATTGCAACAACATGGTCTAAAAGAAACTAAAAATATAGGGATACATGAATCAGTTGCAATGTTTTTACATACCATTGGCCATGCACTTAGTAGCAGAATGCAACAAGAAAGATTTCAACATTTAAGAGAGACAATTAGCAGACATTTTCATAATGTCCTAATGGCATGCTGTAGACTTGCCATGTCTAATATCAAACCAAAAGATCCAACATTCCGGCATGTTCATACAAAAATTCGGTTTGGTAAATATTGGCCTTTTTTTAAACATGCTATTAGAGCAATTGATGGCACACACGTTTCCTGCGTTGTCAGCGCAACAGATCAAACTAAATTTATCTCTAGAAAAAGAACAGTGTCACAAAATGTCATGGCGGTTTGTGATTGGGACATGTGTTTTACTTTTGTCTTGGCCGGATGGGAAGGTAGCGTACATGATGCTCGGCTATTTGATCATGCCCTCACAACTCCTTCAATGAACTTTCCCCATCCACCTGAAGGTATTTTTTTATTTCCTACATTTTATTTATATTTAGCTTAACAATAGAAACATAATTTACAATAATTTCATTTTTTATATAGGAAAATATTATTTGGTGGATGTTGGATACCCAACACTAAATGGATATCTCGGCCCATATAGACGGGAGCGTTACCATCTGCTTGATTTTCGAAGGACATCTGGGTTTGAAAATGACAATGAGGTCTTTAATTATTTCCATTCAAGTTTAAGGAGTACAATTGAAAGAACTTTCGGAGTTTGGAAAAAAAAGTTCGCAATCTTATGAAACATGCCATCCTATGATTATGAAACACAAGTTAAAATCATTTGTGCAACAATGGCTATACATAATTTTATTAGAACGACACCTATTACTGATCCTGGATTCATTCAGTTGGAAGAAGAAGGTACTTATGCAGAAGAAGATGATGATGGGGTTGGATTTTCACGTATACATTCATCAATTCAATCTTCATCTTACATGGCTCAGGTTCATGACAGCATAAGAGACGAACTTGTTAATTCAATACAAGGATAGTAGTCATGTCTTATTTATTTCCTTTTATCATAGATTGTAATATGTAGTTAAAAACAAAACCTATTACAAATGCTTTGTATCGATGCATCATCTTAATTATTATGACACTTTATTTATATTTCTTTTATTAATATTATACCTTATATTCTCAAGCTAATTATTACTTACTTTAATAATTAATAATTAATAAATTGTTTAAAGATGTGTTTATTCTATTTTATCAAACAATATCATCCCATTTTATGTTTATAATCTTCATGAAAAATACATGATTTTATATTTGCAACAAAATAATTCATCTTTTCTAAAAATATTTTCACTCTTATATTTTATGAATATATATATGTGGTGACAATTAATTAATTAATTAATTGTATTAAACATCAGAGGTTATTATACATGTAGTATGTTATTACAAAAAGTAGTTGTGAAAAAATGTTATGGGATTTCACGTTTAAAATCTTTAAAGAAAATTAATATTTTTCTATTAGCAAAAAAAAAAATCATTTTTCTATAAACATATTAATATTATGTTTTATAAAAATATATACACATATTAATTGTATTAATTATATATTATTAATTATGTTAGTAAAAAAAATTTCATTAACAATTTTATTTCTTCAAATCAAAATATATCATAAAATTATATAATTATCATATTAACTTATACTCTTTTTGGTAATTTTCACATGTAAAAAGTGCTTCTGGTAATAACTATCCAAACACTCTCACTTCTTAGAATCATTTTTTCTCAGAATCTATTCTCCAGAATCACTTTTCCAAACCACGGTTTGGTTTCATCCAAACACACCCTAAGTATCCTTCAGACATGATCTCTGCCCAAGTACTTCAAAGCACAGGCCCGAAAATAGTGTTTTTAACACTCTCATAAACAGTTGATAGCAAAACTAGTTCAGTTAACACCAACCCCATGTTTGAATAGAAGGAAAAGTTAAGAGGAAAAAAGTATGGGAAGAAAATGTGGAAGGATTGGAGCATTGGGGGCCCAGACTTTTATCAGAATGTTGAAAGGTTCTATAGAATCTGTGAATACCTAAACGCTGGAAATATTTAGATTTTGGCAGACCTCCAGGCCAGCTCTAATAGGCATAATCTCAGCAATTTGTGACAGGGTAGAGTTTAAGGTTCTTTCTTGAATCCCATAACCCAGTCTCCTTTGTCACCTTTGATCATTTCTTATAAGCACAAGTATTCTCATGCTTAAGGTAATCCCGTTTAAGACATTATTGGGAGTAAATGGGGACACCTCTCTCATCAAGCATTCAAATATTTTTTTTGTCATGTTGTTATGAACTAACCCTTTTTATTAAACTCAACCTACAATGATTTTGTCATCACATCCAAACCGAGCAGTATGAGTTCATTGAAGGCTCTTTCCAAAATCAGTTTTTAATGGATTATGTTGGAGGCCCATTGAAGATCACATAACTCAAACGAATCATCTGTACAAACAGTCCTCATCATTTCACAACATTGGGCCGTCACCACAGAGTCTTCCATGTAGACTTCAAGTTCGTTATTAAATTGGTGATTGGTGATTGATGTACCAAAAAAAAAAAATGGTGATTGTATGGGATCTAATGCCCTTTTGATTTAGTTAATTAAATTGGTCTCTGACCCTCATTGTCTGCCTCCAAAAACAAAACTCCAAGTTCATTATATTCCAACAGCATACAAAAAATAACACTTAGCTGACCAGTAATTTAATCAAACCAAAATAAAAAAGTTAATATATAACCTAAATTATAACCATAAAGAGATTTGCAATTTTTGTGAAAAATCTGTTAAACTTACCCTAAACTTTTAATCTAAGTTCTTATTTCATGGTTACCTTATTATATTCATTTTAACTTGTAAAAATATAAAAATTTCTCAAAGGTCAAGTTGGTAAAACTAAGGAAAAAGAGAACCAACTCAAGTTGACATATTAGTCATCACTTAATTGATTAGGGTTTAATCTTAATCTTTCTATATATGATCTATTTGTAATAGTGAGTGTGTGTTGAAGAAATATAAGGCTTTTTTGGTATGAGGGATTTAGAGGGAAGGAAAGAGAAAATGGGGCGATTTTGCTCTCCTCCTTTTGTTTGGCTTTGTAAAATTTGTATGAGGGGAGGGAAAATTTTCTTCCCCTCTTCTCCCCTTTGGAGGGGATTTGGAGGGGAGTTTTAATATTGTTGTTCTATTATGACCAATATAGCCATGATTATATTTAATGCTCCCAAACTATCCGCTCTAACCTCCTTCACCCTTTCTACATCTTATTAAATTGCTTTTAGTTTTGTCCATTTGTCTCAATGAAATTCTTTATTGACTATTATTTAAAAAGGCACTGCAAAGTGTGGATGACAGGAAATAAGCTAGTTTCTATTATTTGTAAAGAGCGAAATCTGTTTTTTTTTTTATAACATTTTTTATATAATATACAATGCAAAATACTCCAGTCACATGTTAAAGAAAATTTTTTTTCCCGACACAAAACGACATTACCTAGAAAGAAAACAAGACTTCTTGACTTATAGAGTTAGATGTTGATTGTCTATTATAATTACATTTTTTTATAATTATAAAATTATAATTTTATATATTAAATGTCATTTATAATTCTATTTTATTAAACATTTTAAAAAGTTTGAAAAACAACTTAAATAAAATGAGAGTAAAATTATCCACATAAAAATATTTTTTCCTCCCTCCTTTTTTTGAACCAAACAAAATAATGTTAAAATCTCTCCCCTCCCTTTTCTTCTGAACAATAATATCAAAATCCCTCCCCTCTCCTCACTTTCACTTCTCTCCATTAAAATCCATCCCTTCCTTTCCTTCTATTGGGCCAAATCCTTGTGAAAATTTTGACCGAAATCTCAATTCAAATTCAAATTCAAATCCATATAAATGCGGGAAAAAAAAAACCATAAAAAGAATCATAATCACTTTGATTAAGTCCGACAATGCTCGAATTTGGCTCAAGCAAGTGGTTATATCAAAAGATTAAAGGAAGAAGAAGAAGAAGAAGAAAGACCCGAGTTAAATGTAGGCTTCTGGGAAAATATTAGGGGATTCTGAGAAACCACGGACTACCAACATGAACTCCACCTCCAGGTCTCTCTCCCTCCCACAGAAGGTTGTGCCTGTGTCTGTACGTGTGATGCAAATGCAGATTTATTCAAGAGATCATGCGGGTTAGTAGCCATAAAAGCCTTGGCCAGAAGTCTCAGTTGCCATTAATCTTTACTCATTACATAAATAACTGATAAACAAAATTCATGAGCACAGTACTTAAAGTAAAAAAGAAGAAAAGAATGGTAAAATAAGAAATTTTCAGGACAGATTCAACATTAAGGAGAAGGGGGGGAAAAAAGAATGATCTATTACGGAAACTGAAACGATCCACCAATTTGGGTAGAACCAGCAGGAGGATTGATTGCAACCCATAAGAGAGATATAGTGATTGCTATCAGCCCTGACCATACAAAAACAATGGTCGGCGTCCTTCCTCTTCTTCCCATCAAACCTTTTGCAAATGGATACAGATGAGCTAAGACCCAGAAACTGAAGAAGACGCCACCCAGCAGACGGCTCCACTGCGGTATGACGCTGTATATTGTTCGGCTAACCCCAACTGCTATCGCTATTAAGTTGACCATCATGATTGTGATGGGTGGTATCATCAAGGATGTCCATTTCACAATGTAGAGATCAGCATACTCATCATCAACATCATCACCTCCAGATTTTGAAGTCAATGTGAAGGAGATTTCGATCCCTGCTATGACCTTCAGCAAACCTTGGAGCACAGCAGCAAGATGGGCACTAGTGCCTCCAATCAACCAAAACTGCTCGTTTCTCCACCATTCTTCGAGCTCAATACCTGACCACTTAATCTCAAGGATAGCAAGCACGCACAAAGTCACAGTGATGGTCAAGAGATAAGCAAGGAATGTAACATTGAGCGTCTGAACAATGAACTGGCCCGAGAAGAGGGAAAGTGCAGGAAGGAAACAATAAACAATGAGAAATATGGAAGTGAATGGGTAAATGCCGACATTAAGGTATGCAATTCGTTGAAGAAGCTTCATTCTTGGGCTAGCCAGAAGGGCATTGTTTCGAGAGAAGAATATCTCAACAGAGCCAGTAGCCCATCGAAGCACCTGATGCAACCTGTCTGTGAGATTGATTGGAGCAGTTCCACGGAAGGCATCACGCTTGGTCACACAATATACAGATTTCCATCCCCTATTGTGCATCCTATATCCAGTAACCACATCTTCAGTAACAGAACCATAGATCCATCCAACACGGTTTCCCCACTCAGTTTTGTCCTCATACCAACATGAGATAACACTGATGGCCTCTGCCACTGTTGATGCATCAAGAAGATCACGGGGAATGGTGAGAGCACCAGGTGGGCGGCCATTTTTCACAGCAGGGTGATCAGCAAGAGGCCGGCCTTGGAACTCTGCAACTGGAATAGAGTCGATGAGGAAAGTTGAGTTTCCAAATTTTTTAGGGAATGTTGAAAGATCCATCTCTTCATCATCAGAATCACCCATCCTTAATGCCCGATTCTCTTCATTGTTGTTTGCCATCGAGGAATGCTTCTTGCGACGTCCAAAGCAGCAGCTACAACAACCTGGGTGGTTTTCTTTTGCACGAGGTGGGTCAAAACCATAAAGGGCAACTCGTCTAAAAAGACACCCAGTTCCCACATAGACTGGACCTTGAAGTCCATCTAGAGCTCTCATATTGACATCAAAGAAAACTGTGTTATGATTAGCATATCGATCAGAGGGATCAATCCCCTCAAACCTCTGTGGGAACTGGACATAACAAATGCGATCACCTCCACGATCCATCATGAAGCACATACCTTCCCTCATTGCCTTTGAGTTGTAGATATAATGATCACAGTCAAGATTGAGTATAAAGGGGCCATTTGACATTATAGCTGATGCTCGAACCAAGGCATTCATAGCCCCTGCTTTTTTGTTGTGATCATAACCTGGACGCTTCTCACGGGAAACATAAACAAGAAGGGGCAAACGGATATCAACATCAGTCAAGTCAATGAGCTTTGTATCATCAGCATTTCCAAGAAGAGGGTCATCACTGGGAGGTTTCAACATCACCTGCATCATGGATGAATAATAATATACTCATTTTCATATGCAAAAATAATTTCAAAATTGAACAGAATTATATTAGGAATTTTCAAATACCTGTATTATACCAGCATGATCACCCCTAGAGTGCTCAGGTGCAGAATTTAACCAAGTCCCAGGCCAATGAGTTCCATCAGCCATCCAAGTTGCTTTTGGAATCTTCACACTTTCAACAGGTTCATCTTCCCTATTTTGTCTTTGAAGTTTCATGGCCTTGATTTCCTCTCTTGCATGATAGGCATCTGATCGGCGACGGATAGAGTCAGGAAGACTATTGATCCTGACCTTGAACTCATCATATTCACGCTTCACCCGTCTACGATCCTTGACAAAATCTGACCGCACTTTATCCTTATAAGGATCTCTTTTCAAATTGAAATACGACTCAGGATTCCTGGGCTCTATATCATGCTTACGACAAAAGGGTACCCATATATTGGCAAAACTTGCAGCTTCAGCCATGGCCTCAAAAGTTAGAAGTGCACCTCCATCATCAGACACATAACAAGAAAGCTTCTCAACAGGATAATCTGCAGCTAAAATAGACAAGATGGTATTTGCAGTGACAAGTGGTGGCTCTTTGTCAGGATCAGCAGTAGAAACGAAGACATCTATTCCTGGGAGATCAGACTTTCCAGTTGGATTATTTGGGGTGGGTGCCTCAAATTTTTCCTTCAAGACATTAAGATCTGTGGCACGATTAACTGGGCATAGCTTGGGCAGTTGATCCAGAAGCCACGAAAAAGCAAACCATATCTCACAAACAACAGACATGCCCCATAGCCAGATTGCATCATTATTTGGATGATTGACCCTCCATGCTAAGAACAAGCCCAGAACAGCCATGCGAATTAAAATAAGAAGACTGTAAAAACAAACGGAAGAAGAAAAAGGCCATGGTCAGGGACGTGAACGAAAGCATATAGTATTTCAGGTTCAAGGAAGCAAAAAATAGAACAGAATAAAATAAAAAGAAACGTATGTTATGCAACAGATTTTGCAGTTAATTGCTATCCACAATATAAATTTAGTAGCGTATTAATGAGGTCAACCACATTTAACAGCTACTCCAAACAAATGAATCTTCCAATTTAAGCAATTCGAAAGCTTGAAAAAATAACCTCCTCCCTTAAATTAATTCTTGAAATAGACCCTAAAGAAACACTCCATCAAGCTTAATTTTATTTTACCTTCCAACAAAAATCAAGCATGGTTTTCTAATATTAATTTGCCAAATAGAGTCCAAGTACACCACTAACGAAGTTAGTTGCCATTATGTGAGATTGGTTACCTAAAAATTGATCACTGTAAGCCAATTGTTTACAATCAACAATAGCATGCAGACCCAGTGGTCTAAAAAATTAATCTAATTTTTTGCAAGGAAATCATTGTTGATTCCAATCATGATGTTATATTAATTAAAATAGAATGTATAGGACGTAATCATTCTGAACCAAGAGGAAATGCAATGTCTTATAAAATGCTTAATCCAGTTTTACAAGGAAATAAAGGAAGTTCACGGTTAAGAGCAATAAACTATACCGATATGGGCTCAAAACAGCAGCAGGTATTTTCAGTTTCCTCGTAAGTGGTCTCCAAGGTCTGTTCATGAATTCAGTTGGCTCAGCAACATCATCCTCTTTTCCATTCCCAAGTCCGCCTTCCTTTGGCCATATAGCATTTCCATAGCCATAGGTCCCCTTTGTTTCAAACAGCCACCGATTGTGGTCAAAGTCTCCAGTTTGGCTCCTCATTAGTGCTGACTTAGTTGACTTCATCAAGGACAATCTCCTCTCCATTTTAGACATTCCACTTGGCGGAGGAAGGGGAAGAGGCCTTGTATTCTCCACAGCCACTTCATCTAACTCTGTGTTTTTATATGGCTCCTTGCATCCTGGGCACATTCCACCTCCTGTTCTTACAGCATCTATATAACAATCTCTACATATCTTGAAATCACACTCACAAGGAAGAATATCAACACCACGTTCGTCACTCATCACCTTTGAATCACAACCAGGAATTGCACAGGAAGATCCTTTTGCACCAGCCATCTGTGGGTGGTTTGCTTCAGATTCTATTACTTTGTCCATTAGATGGGCTCGTGTAACACTATTGAACCCACCTGTGAAAAGAGAGTTTGATACATATTGCTCCTCAACTTTCTGTGAGATTGATGGATCCATAGGTTGGTTATCCGGGGTTGGCGGTATATGCACTGTATAATTCATGAAATCACTACTACCTAGTTCACTGTCAAGATCATCCCTAGAGTAACTGATGTATCGACCAGATGAGGTTCTCCGACCAAATGTTACAGTAGGAGGTAGAGGAGGCTTCTGGCCATCGGGCGCATCAGAACTTGTTGACAGAGATGATCGGCTAGCCCTGAATGATCTTGACGCCATGTTTAGGGATGTTTAGGGACTAAGATTGATATGTCTTTATGCCCTGCAAATCAGCAATGTTCCAAAAGAGATTAATTTCAGCATTATAAAGATGGTAAATTATAAGTCAAAAATTGTCATCGAAGTTCAAAAAAGAATCTAAATCTTCTATGGATCAGAATACGGTGATCAATAAAGTGAAATAATGGCAAGGGGCAATTGTAAGAGTCTCAATCACAAAGCTTAAAAACTTTCGTCACATATTCCTCTGTTAGTATAGGAATCAAAGTATGAACCACCCGAAATTCCCAGGAAAAGAAAAGGAAAAAAACGAAACAAGAAGTTGAAAAAGCGAGAAACTTTTAAGAAAGCATTTGCCCGTATAGCACTATGGACCAACAGAGTAATCAGAATCTACAAAAAAAAAAATTCAAATGGTACAAGAAGAGGAGGTGAGAGGTGACAGATTCGGCCGAATATGAAGTACCCAAAAGCAAATACTCGACTCATAGAGATCTTGTTCCGAAAATCTTCTTTTCGCCCCTCGATTTCTCATAACCAAGCTCACAATACAACTAGGTGTTAATGACGAAGCTCAATCCTCGACTACGGTCTCTCTTTCCTTAGATTTGACAAAATTGCAGAAGAAAAGAAGCACAACGCTGGCCTCCCTAACCCATCTCATCAACTTTAAGTTAGCAGCATTAGGTAATTCCCTTTGACTTCCCTCCCCGCTTTACCAAAACCCACAAACAATGACCATAAATCTAGAAGAAAAAGGAAAAAAAAAAAAAAATCTGGCCCATTTTCCTTTTCCACCGCTTTCTCGCGTTTATCTCGGCAATCAAGCAGCCCGTATGCAAGAAAAATCACCAGTAAATGAATAACAAAAAAATTCATTTTTTTGGAAAAGGGATCAAGCAAGAAGTTGCAGAGATAGCTTAAACAAGCATACCTAAGGAAAGAATATGCTAAATGCCACTGAGTATCCAGATCTCTGCTCGATCTTCTCAGAAACCCATTAAAGCAGAAGGAGCTTGTGCTCAGAAAATGAAGGAAAGCTTCAAAGTTTTGAAGAGCTTGCAATCCAACTGTCCCTTATACACGCAAAAACACGCAGAGAGACAGAGCGGAAACAGATGGACTGAGTCGTGAGCTAAACTACAAGCACTACGAAACCATGATTGAAGCCTTCTTCTGGGAAGAAAACTATTAAATATTTTTATTAAATTGTGCCAAAAACAAAAATTTCGCGTTAGAAAGTGTGAAGGTTCTTGGGTAGGAGGGAAGAGAGAGAAGGAGTCTCGAAAGGTTGCGATTTTAAAATGTCAAAGGTGGCAGAAATGGTGTCTGAACGGTCATTCTAAATCTTTGGTTAAATTGTAATTTTAGCCCTTATCTTTTTGTATATTTGCTATAGACCCATGTATTTTTACCCGGTTTTCCTGAATTAAGGGGTGCAAGATTACTGAATTTTCAAATTAATAATTTTTTTAAAATAATAATTTACCTCTTAAGAATTAATTTTAAATTTATTTTTTAAATATTATACGAAAAATTAGAGCTAGATAAGATTGAAAGAAAAAGGACATTATTACCTTAAAGGAAGAAAGGGATTATTACAAAAATAAAAGGATAAAGAGATTTGTTGGGATACTAAGAATATTTCCACCATGAAAAGGAAGAAGAAGAAATATGTTCCCAAAATGACTCAGTATAAATCACATTTTATCCTTTGACTTTGCCTTTTGTCACAAGAAAATAAAAATCAAATTAAATTAAATTTCTTTTTGGCAAAAAAAAATTACATTAAATTTCTCTAAATATGGAATCATTTATAAATAACTTCCTTCATTTTTAAAATTTAATAATGAACTCATAAATTTTGAAGTCTGTGCAAATAATTCTATACTACTAATTTTGTATCCCTCATAAGCTCTCAAACTTTGAACTACATGAAGATAAATTCCATAAATTCTAAATCATTTGTAGATAAATAATAAACGAAACTAATAGTATGGAAATTATATGCATAAATGTAAAAGTTTAAAAAAATTAAACAAAAAATAGAAATTTCACTCTTATTTAAATAATCTCATATATTTGTACTTAATCAGTGCTGACCACATTTCAAATTATTCCTGGTTTTATTCAAATTAAAATTAAAAGGAAAAAAAATAAATAAAAAAGAGTCATCACAAATCTGCCCAATTGGCTGCATCATGGGCAGCATGTTATTATTCATTGTAATTATTATTATGATATGGGCCACAAATCTGAGATTCCTCTAAAGGCAAAAGGACACTGGACGAGTGAAAGAATTATATAAATAAATAAAAAGGATTTTTGAATTAAATAAATGCCAATGTAATCATCATAGCCATGTTTATATCTATGGCTGTCTTTTTAATGTTTTATTTGCACATTCAGTTCTTTCAAATCCATTGCTTAAAATAATGAAACTTGTTAGGGTATGTTTGGATTGCCGATTCAAACGGTGAAAGTGCCTAGGAAATTGTGAAACCAACGTTTGCAACTGAAATGAAGGAAAATGGTTGTTTGGCTGCAATATCTTATCCAACTGACTTCTGAAGCAAACGGTGGACGTTGGCAACGCTGAGGAGAGCTACTTCTGGAGCGTCTGAGACTGAAATTTATCGTTGCGGGTCATTATTAGATCCATAAAAATACCACCTACCAGTTGTAACCCTCCCTGCATTTTCCCTCCCCCCGAATCCATTCGCTAGAGCTTCTCCACGGTCTCCCTTCGTAGAGCTTCTCCACGGTCTCCCTCCCTCCTGCTTCACCGTGAGTCCGTGACCGACCGCTCTCCCTCCCTCCTTCTCGCCGGCGCTTCTCCATCCGTGATTGTCGCCGGTGCTTCTCCTTCCTTCACTCTCTCCATTTTCTCCCACACCGTGGAGCGTGGTGCTCTGTTCTTCTCCCTAACGCTCTCCCATTTTGTTCTTCCATTTCAGGTGGTCCTCCGGTTGTCCGACCGAGCTCGCCACTTCGTTCACCGTGGGTTGTGCCAGAGATCAGTTGGAGTATTTGTTACAGATCAGTGTGGTCCTGAGGTTGTTCGACCGAGCTCGCCCCTTCTAGCATCCTCAGTGCGTTTGCTTCACCGGATCTGTTGAGGTTCACCGTCCTTCTAATTGAGCTCGCCCCGCTCGACTCGATTGACCGTGGCTGCCGAGAAGCAAGTGGTTAGCTTCGTTCTGCTTCACTTGATTTACCCTGCGTCGGCGCTTCTCCCTGCGTGATCTCTTCCGCTTGGCCCTGTTTCAAACCCGGAGCTTCAGGTCGCAGGTAAGGTCGCAGCTTCAGATCAACCGTTTTGCTTCATTGTTCTTCGAACTCATCTGCCGTATGTTTGTGGGTTTAATTCTCTGGTATTATCTGTTAAATTTACTGATTTTTGTGTGCTGATAGTATCTGATAATTTGCTGATTTTTGTGTCTCCATAGTATCTGATAAATTTGCTAATCTTTGTGTCCTGGTAGTATCTGATAAATTTGCTAATTTATGTGTCCTGGTAGTATCTGATAAATTTGCTTATTTTTGTGTCTTGGTAGTATCTGATAAATTTGTTTATTTACAAATCAGAATGAGGCCTTCAATTATTATCATTCTAGTTTGAGATCCACTATTGAAAGAACTTTTGGGGTGTGGAAGAATAGGTTTGCAATCTTAAGCAATATGCCCAGATTCAAGTTTCAAACACAGGTCGGCATAGTTTGTGCAACAATGGCTGTCCATAATTTTATCAGGCAAAATTCTCCAACTGATGATCGCTTTATAGAAGCTGAACATGGAAGTGTAATAGATGAAGAAAATAATCATGCAAGTGGTGAGGCATCCTCGTCAAGTTTAACATCTGCTGCACAAATGAATCGTGTTCGTGACTCAATTAGAGACCAAATTGTGCAAAGTTTACTATCTAATTAGTTATGTTATTTCATTTACTTTAATTACAGACTAAATGAATTTTAATTTATATTCATGTTTGTCCATTATGTATATTTAATTAATTATTTCCAATGTGTTTTTTTATTTTTTTCAGCACAAATATTTTTATTTCATAATTTCACAATTAAACTATTTATATTTTATCATAATAATTTTATATGTTTTTTTAACCTATTATCACATTAAAAACATAAAAAATCAAAAACTACTATTTAATAAAGTTCATGCCCTTTTTAGTCATTTTACAACTAAACTAACTTTTTCATTTATCATCCAAACAACTTTCAGCTTTTTCAACTGACTTTTCAAAAGCACCTATCCAAACATACTCTAACTGACTTTTACTCTAACTTCAGTTACAAAAGTCAGTTGAGCTAAAAGTCAGTTTTGCCCAACGCCAATCCAAACATACCCTTAATATTTCACGGTTGATCTTACATGACCTCGCCCTCCTGTTAGCCTAAAAATACGAGAAAATAATAAATATAGGCAGTAAAAATTACACAATTTTAAATCAGAATTCGTCACACCATTTTAATATATTTTGAAAACAATTAATTTCTAAATAACAACACATTTTTTAAGAATTCTTGATTTGGAATTCTTTAATTTTCTCCGTCTTTTTCTTTAATTTTTCCAAAAATATTATCAATAAAATACTTCCTATTTTCTTGTCTTTTTTTAAAGAAAAATTAACTAGAATTATATAATTTTTTAATAAATAAATTTAGCAAAATATAATTATGCATCGCAAAAGTATGTAAGAAAAATGTCCATATTATTATTCATCTGTGACGGAATAATAGCTAACTTTTTTCTTTGTGCCATGTGCATCATTCTCTGTCTTTTCTTTCCAGCTTCCACTTGACTTCTTGTCACTTTTAGCTAATTTGTTTTATTTATCGTTTTTCAATTTTAATATCTAAAAAATAATTAAGAGCAGACTTGAATCAATCTTGACTTGAATTTTTTCCCAGAAAAAATAGAACTCACTTATATTCTATAAAAACCATTTATTTATTTTTTGTTTTCTCTTCTTTATTTCACTTGAATTAAATTGTGAGAAAAAATCAGCTATTGATTTGAATAATAAATTGTAATATCTTTTAAATTTTACTATTCAGATCCTAAATATAAGGTTTATTTTATAATGTAAATTACATTATAAAATGGGTCTTATATTTAGTATTGTGGAAGTAATACTACATTTTGTCAGAAAAAAACATGCGAGAAAATGACTTTTTCGCAAATGGGAACCCCCTCTATTTTAGCACACGCTTTTCTGAATAAAATAATAAGTATCATTATTATTAATTTTAAATTTTTCAGAAAATAAAAGGATGAAAGAAGATGACTGGGTAGGACTTGCTGATTCTAAAACCCCTTTTTCCTATTTTGTTGATGCATGAACAAATGAAAATTTTGACCAAAACCAAAATTAGCGTGTTACGGCTAATTCGTGCGTGTTAATTGCCAGTTGTTGTTTAGGTGTGACATCTTCAACACCTAATGCCCTTCTCCTTTTGCTGCCAATTGCCATTCTTCTTTTCCCTATTTACACAAATTGCCATCACATTTTTTTTCACTTTAATTCTTGAATAGTAAATTTGCTTTTGGAAAAATGAGGGAAAAAAAACAATACAATTGACATGTCAAAATTCAACATGTACTACTTTCAATTCTAATTATAAGACTTCATTTATAGACTGCGAACGATATCTTATAATTAGGATCGGAGGTAATTTTTTGTTAATCATCCTCCTTTTTTTTTTTTTTTACCTAATAGAAGAATTTACGCATCTACCATACCTGCTGTCGAGCAGAACTTACAGTCTCAGTATCATTTAACTTTATAATTTGTGTTATCCGTTGTCACTTTTTGTTTTTTGACCAGATTATCCGTTGTCACTTATCCCCCCAAAAAAATTAAGTTTTCATTTGATCAAAATGTGAAAACAGTCTCTACATTTCACACTTTGGAAAAATGTCGTAGGTGTGAAATGCACTTTTAGATGACTCCAAAAAAAAAAAAATACTATTTCCGATCCTAAATATAAGATATATTTTGTGATACAAATTGATCAAATGTGAAAACAGTCTCTACATTTCACACTTTGGAAAAATGTCGTAGGTGTGAAATGCATTTTTAGATGACTCCACAAAAATATATATTATTTTCGATCCTAAATATAAGATATATTTTGTGATACAAATTGAATTATTAATCTATCATCTATGGATTCAACAGTAAGAACTACACCCTTTCACTTA